GAACCGGCCGTGAGGGCAGCCCGGCGGGGGCGGCACAGGCCAGCCTTCGGGCGTCCGCATGCCGGAGCTTTTTGGTTAGATACACCAAGGCTCACCCGCGGTTTAGCGTTTGAGGGCTGCAGTTCGGGCGGGAGTGGGGGCCATGCTTTAGGTCATATGAAAACATGGGTACAGATGAGCGGGAGGTTCTCCGAGGTGAAAGCCCGTGGTATTGACTGACTTCTTGCTGCGCAGTGAAAGCGTTTTCAGTGTAGTGAAACAGTTACAAAACAGAACTGGATCGAGCGAAGTCCTCGATCAGTGAAGAGCAGAATGCAGACTCCCGTGCCGTTGTGCAGTCTTTTAGTGTTAGCTCCGCGGACTGAACTAAAATAGCAGTGATCGCCACTGGACATAGATGACTCTGACTGAAGAGAATTCTGTGTGAACAGAGATAACACAGTGTGGTTGTAGTGGAGATAAAGTAGAAGCAGAGGTGATGTGAAAACAAATTTTCCCAAGCTCTGCACGATGTCTAAACGTGTGGTTCGCTTTGTGTCCAGTAGGGTAAAGTATACCAAGAAGCACAACTTATTGTGGCTGAATGGTTGTCTTTTAGCAAACATATTGTCCCATTCCTTTTGACCTGCTGTCTGTGGGGTTTCCTCTGCGTACTGTTGTAAATAAAGGTGGATAATTTTTCTGTCTTCTGAGGCATGCAAATTTCTTATCTAGGTTGATCCCTGGAATGTTGATTTTCTGCTTATAGAACATTCATTGCAACCAATCACTAAAAATGCCTTTTTAACATTTTTCATTGCAGGTGAAGAAGCTTGGTATCGTGGCTGTGAGTAAGTATGCGCAAATTGTTCACTCCTGATTTTTCTTTAATTAACACATCTGACATCTGCACTTGATTTTTAACTCAAAAATGGGAAATCAGTTATATGTATTAATCTATACACTGAAATATATTGACAGGGGTGTCATAAATATCAGATATCAATTTGGAAATAAGGCTGCTGTTGCAAGTACATCTTAGTTCTCTCAGGGATATACCTTGTGAACTTCCTGGTTTTGTCATCTTATTCTTTCAAGAACACTCTAGGCCTTAAGGAGTGAGCAATTAATGAAACTGTTAATTCCAGATTTCCCCCCCCCCTCCCCCCTTTTTTTTTTTGGTGGTTGCTAGAAGACTGTTATAGGAGGAGAATGATTACAGGAACAGAACAGGTATGGATGGGACTAAAAGTCTTCAGGGAGTGTTAAAAATTGGCTGTACTATTGGGTACAAAGAGAAGAGTGGCCTGACATCCAGTTGGCAGTTGATAACAAAGCATAGCACCTTGGGTGCCAACAGCAGGGCCCATGTTGTTCAGGGCCTTAACCCACAGCCTTGATAATGAGGTGGCATGCCCTTTGGTAAAAATTTTCAGAAGTTACTATGTTAGGAGGAGTAGCTGACAGTCAGAATGCAGAGCTTCAGTCCGCGGAGGTGTTGCAAAATATGCTAGGCCTGAGCCAACGGAAACCTTGCCAGTTTCAGTGAGGGCAAGTGCATAATCCTGCACCTGGGACAGAACAAGCTGGGAACTGACTGGCTGCGCGGCATGGAGCTGGGGCTGTGCTGGTGCCAGGTTGAACGCGGTCCAACAAGGCAGTAACTGTGAATGAAGCAAGCCGTGTACTGAGCTGCATTAGGAACGTGGCCAGCAGATCAAGGAAAGCTGCTCTGCTTTGTGCTGGTGAGGCCATACCTGGACTGCAGCACCCAGGTAGTGTGGTTCTCCTCTTCCCAGCTTTCCCCTTTCTCTTTCAGCAGGGATGCTGAGGAACTGGGGAGTGTCAGGGGCATACAGCACGCAGTATGAGAAGAGACACTGAAGTAACTGGATTTGTTTAGTCTTGTGAAGGAAAAAATCCAGGGCAACCTAGAGGCAGTCTGTTACCTGAAGGGCAGTTATGAACATGGCAGGGCTGAATTTGTGATGGTAAGGGTAGACAGAGCAACAACAGGCACCAGCCACAGATTGCTGTGGAGAGGGTCACAGTGGAGGTTAGGAAAGATGGCCCTGACTAAGGGGGGACTGTGGTACAGTGTAGACCTTTAGCGACTTCCTTCCCAAGGAGTATTCAAGTCTCAGCTGGGCATAGCTGCAGGTAGCCTGATCTACCACTGGTCATAATCCAGCTTTGGGAGGAGCTGGGTGGGAAGTTGAACTAGATGCTTTCCACAGGTCTCTTCCAACCTACGGTTAGATGATTCAGTGAGATGCACGCTGTCTTGAAAAGTAGGTTTTCTGCTTCTGTATAAAAAAAGTTTTTACACAGACCTTATAAAGCAAAATATTTTTCATTGACAGAGCCTATATAAACTTAAGAACAAGTAACTGTCACACAGCCAGGACTGGATTTAAAACATAAGCAGTGAATAATTAGAGCTGTAAACACATCTCTGTAACTTCTGTTTTCAGCCTACTAAATCGTAAAAACGTTGCTTGTTCTGTGAAATCCTTTTCAGTGGCCAGCAACTTTTTACAGGCATAATCATTTAAGCTTTTTGAGAATTTTAGGTGTTTACTTAGAAAATTGCGATGGAAGGTATGAACGATGTGCCTCTCAGTGGGGTGTTGTTGGTTTATTGATGTTGCATGGTTGGTGCTCTGTACTTGTTAATTGGGTTGTCCCTAAAACTGTCTTGGTGTAAGACAAGCTCATGTGGAGTACGGGCTGTCTGTAACCTGGCTGTAGACCTGAGTCACTTCAGAGTTGCTGTGGGAAGATGTCTAACGTGGTCAGTCAAATGAAGCCTCTCACGAAGTGCAGCCTTTTTAATTTTCTTAGTTTAGTTCTTCCCATTGAGTCTGTTCTGCAGTACAGCAAAGGGTACAGGATTCTTTGTGTTCGGTAGTAATTCACCCTACAAAGCAACATTATGGGGAAGGCTGCTGGGTGATCATACAAGTTTGTGTCATAAGTGCATAAGTGACTGATTTTTGATCTGGTGTTTCTCTGTACAGTCATTAAGCGCTGTGATTTGCATTTTTATATTTCCCTGGATTGAGAGTATTTTTCCCTAGAGTATTTATTTCAGTTTTCTACCATTTGGGACCACATCAACAGCTTCAGCTTTGAGTCTTCTACTGTTAGAACTAGTAAAGTGGCAGATCACCATAGTAGATAATCCTTCTGAAGCAGTCACAAGGTGGGGAGTGAGATGTATTGTTGTTACTGGTCTGATGTTATTTATGGCAGTATTTGCATTCATCTGAAATACGTGCATTTCTCTAACAAATTCAACAGAATGTTCAACAGGAGAACTTTCTTGGTGGGTGACCATGCTAAATAAATGCACTGTCAGGCTTTCTCTTGTTATGAACCTGAAAGTTGCTGAACTTTTTTTTTGTTTGATTAACAGGTAATTCTTTGCCACAAGACATCACATGTTTGGCAGCAGACCGCATGTTGATATTTGCTTCATATGACAACGTTCTTCATGCTTTTGCCAGGAACAAAGAGGTTTTTATTAGTTTCCTTACTGCTCAGTAGTACAAAACAGTTGTGCGGTGTTTGTGTTTTCAAGACAGTTAATTTTGTACAAACATCTATTTCTGTAGATGTTTAGTACCTTTGATTTTAGGGAAACAAAAACTGTAGGAGGAATAAGAATGCTTAAAATAGGAGGATATAAGAGCAAATTCTGTAATGGCTGATCTGTGTTTCATATGTTAATTATAACAATGAGGTAGTTATTTAAAGATAAAAAATAAATTCTTAATTCACATAAATTAATTAAAATTAAGTAGTAAAAAATATTTAGTTACAATATTTTGCAAACAGTTCTAAATATTGGTGAAAATTGCAGATTTTCCACTTGAAGTCATGTGGCCCTTTCATGTATTTTAAGCTCATTGATAACATCTGTTATCTGTCTTCAAGTACTATGTTAACACGACACGCTACTGAACAGCTCACATAGGAAACATTTCTGTTTTGAAATTGTAGGTGGTTCATACCTATGAAGGTCACAAGGCAACGATACACCTTCTGCAGCCTTTTGGTGATCATGTCATCTCTGTGGATGTCGATAATGTTCTTATTGTTTGGAATATACAATTAGAAGGTGAGACACTTCATTCTTGTTACTGCTTTACAGGAGAGCGTTGTTAAAACATTCAGTACCTTAAAAAAAAGTTTTTTTAAATGTGCATGGTCAGAAGTAGTTTATTCTTAGAAAAAAAAAATCCTTAAATGATAATACTACTTAAATGGTAATCCAAAATCCTTGTCTTGCAGTAATTTTTCATGAATGGATCCTGCATCATACGCAGAGACCCACTAAGGTTCCTTGTAGGCATAAAGAGATATGCTTATATGGAAATATTAGCATTTAGCATTCCATTTTCTGGTAAAGGCTGTGGTACCAGCCTTTGGCACCATCTCGGAAAGCCTGAGGTTCCTTGATATTTACCAGACTGGGTAAGACTAAATTCTTAAGAATTATCTTTTCATTGTGTCAGCATCTTCTCGTGGCCTTGTAAAGTGCCTTATGAAATCCTGCTCCAGCACCCTGAATATTTTTCTTTTGAAAATATTCTCATTGATGTGACCAATGTGACTCCTTGGATGCTGGGTCTCGAAAGTGGCAGCAGACAGGCTTTAGAGATTTTAAGTTGCTATAACAAACAAAAGGCATGCTAATCAGATGAGGTGTTTTGCTCAGGCAGGAGCAGGAATCCTCCAGAAAGATATCAATCGCTACACTTCTGCCAGCATTGTTGTGCTAGGTAGGCTTATAGGGAAAAAATATACCTTCAAGCCAACAGATGTTATAACGTAAACAAGTTTAGCCTGTACTGTTACGCATTAGCTAATCCTTTAATGCAAAAAACACAAGTTATGGGATTTGTACAGGGTAAACATCTGTTCTGCTTTTCCATTTGTCAGAGGATGACAAGCCTGCAGATTTGTGGGGGTAGCCACACTAACATTGTTTCTTACTCTTTTTGCAGAGGAATATCTTCGACTGGATTTTGATAAGGCCACTTTTGCGATTTCTGCAGTTCTGCATCCTAGCACCTATTTGAATAAAATTCTCCTTGGAAGTGAACAGGGGAGCTTGCAGCTGTGGAATATAAGATCCAAGTAAGATTTTTAATAATTTGGATACACCTCATGCTCCAAATAGTTTGATATGCAGCAAATAATACTTCTAAATACAGTAGGTTTTGAAGATGGAATCTTTTACTGAGTCCTTTGGCACAAGTTTTCAGTTGGTCTATCTCCAGGAACAGAAAAGGCTGATGCCTTTCAAGTTGCGTGTTGTTTACTCTCCCTGAAAAATGTCAGGGATTGTTCAGGATTTTTTTTTCAGTACAGAGTATTTTAGTTTCTTGGAATCACATAGCTTAACCATGGAAATAATTAAAATAATAAAGTGCATGTTCAGGCTTTCTGCCTTCGTTTTCCAAGCTTAATTTTTTTGTTGTTGTGGGTCCAAGGAAGTGTTGGCAGGTAGTATGGAGGTAATTGCTATCACTTCATCCTTGAAGAGATGTGTAGACATGTAGGTGTCTCTGAGCGTGTCCCAGTAGTACACCGTCTGTAATGGCAGTATTTCATGCCTACCATGAACATGCTTTTCTAACTCATGCAAGTTACAACTGCAGTAAGCATCCCTGCATGTTAATGTTTATTCTGCAAATAGGTGTTAAAACACTGCAGTATGCGAGCTGAGTTATTCTCATAACTACTGTAAAATTTCCAGTGATATCAGAGCGAATTTTTTTTGTTCATACTCTGATATTGTGGAGATGCTATCCAAATCAGGAAATAGGAATAACCTGAAAATATGGCAAAGTAAATGTCTTTACTCATAGTACTCTCTTGTCTCTTTAATGCTTGTTGCAGCATCTGAGATGCAATACATCCCTGATGACAAAAGGTTTTTCTTAGATGGCTTTGTTTCTCTTTTAATCGTGTGAAAGCATAGGGGACTGTTACTACTCATTTAGCAATGTTGCTGGGTTAAGCACCATCTGTTATTGACTTGTGTTCCCTACATAAATTATTTTGTAGATAGGTATGGGCACAGTTAGACCAAAAAAAAAAAAATTGGAAGAACTGAGGGGAAAGCTTCATGGTCTCTGGCACAACAGGAAGGTGAGAGGTGGTAACACACGGCTGCTAGCAGTCTTTTAAAAAGGCCAACCTATATCTGTGATGACGGAATAGTTTTTTTAATCATGTTAGTTCTTAAAGACTGTCTTCATAATTTCACCTTTAAGTGCTGTGTGACTGCCTTGTCGGTGAACAGTCCTGCTTTACATTTTGGCTGTTACCATTTCTGAAAGAAGCAAGATGGGGTGTGCTTGTAATACGCATTTGTGTCTTCAGTTAGGGAAATTAGTCTACAAGTGAAAGATGTGTTTTTATTAGAAGTTGGACCAAGCCTGGCTTATTACTCTGACGTTCAGAATTCTGAAGAGGTGTGTTCAGAGCAGAAATGCATGGGGAGCAACTGACATAGAACAGGGCTTCCTCCCTATTCATGTCATGTGATTATGTCACCTTTGTGGTATTAATTCATGACTAGGGTTTTCAGTAAAAAATAACCCTAGGTTTTATTCCTAACCTTACTTGCTGGTGTTACAGTTGGGGTTTTTTCCTTTTAAACTGGTTTGTAAGGATAGAAAGCTGACGTGGTTTTCTGTGTAAGTGCGTTTAAAGCATCCATTTTGTTGTGGAAAATGCCCAAGGCTTAATTGATTTATGTTTTCTCTTTGTTTTGTTTTCCAGCAAACTCTTATACTCCTTTCCAGGATGGCGCTTTGCAGTCACAGCTCTTGAACAAGTTAGTATTTTTGCTGTCTCTTATTTTCTTATATAGCTGGTCAAGAGTAGCAGGCAGAATATTGTTTAAAATTACTGCAATAAAGATTACTTGCATTGTCAGATAATTAATAACCCTTTCTTGAGCATTTTAGGCACTGAAGACCGGTAGACTTGAAGGTTTGTTATCTGCCCTTCCTCTCGTCCTAGTTCTGTCGCATTTAGCGTCTTGGTGGTTTTATGTTCATCACGTCTGTAGTCTTTATTCCCTGAATGATGTAACGAATTCACAGAAGCAGTTTGTGTGCAGGATGCATCATGCAGCTTCTCTTACACTGGTAGCTTTTTGCTGAATGGATCTTGCTGTGCAGGTTAATAAAATGTAGATTTTGCTGATGTAAGAAGAGATTTTGTGATTGTATATGCTGTATTTTTGTAGATACAAAAATTAATTAGAACTTACAGGTAGCATTGGTGATAGCTTTGAAAATGGTCTGCAGCTGTCCTGGATAAAACTCGTAAATACAGGGGTGTGTGGCAGGGTGTGTAATGGTCTTGCAGAAATACCGAAGACTTAGGTGTTCTGCAGAGGAGTTACAATTTCTGGAAACAGAATTGTCTCATCCAGCAGAGACTAAGTACAAAACCCTGCATCTCATATTTTGTAGAATAGAGAGAGAAGGTCTCGTGCAAGATGCCCTGTTGTTTCTTTACCATTTGTCCTGGATTTGGATGCATTGTCTTGTACGTATTGGTATTAGTAATGTAGCAACAAGCTTTTCCATTTTCATCTCAGTTGCCATTCATTTTTTCTTGCAGGCTCCAGCAGTGGATGTTGTTGCAGTTGGCCTTGCCTCTGGTCATATCATTGTACATAATATTAAGTTTGATGAAACTCTCATGAAATTTCAGCAAGACTGGGGTCCTATCACAGCAATATCTTTTCGTACAGGTAAGCCTTAGCATTTTTAGTGAAGATATGTATAAAATCACTAAAACTAAGTGGAAGGTAGCAAAACGTTTCCATAAAGCATTTTGAAATCAGGATCTGGGCTGAGGTTCTTCAGTCAAAGGCTGCAGTAAGGAAGGGAGATGAAGCATCTTCATTATACTGGCTCTTTGCTAGCATTTTCATGTGTGCTGACCCAGTGCACAGGAGGTGTGACATACAGTCCTCCTTTTTCAAAGAAAAGTAAGACTGTTTGCAATGTGCCAAGACCTAACAGTACACAGTTAGCAGATTCAGTGCAGAGAAATCCATACTCTGTAACTACTTCTCTCCCCCTCCAAAGCAAAGTGAGAAGCTTAGTGTCTGCGTGACTACTGAATGGATGTTAGTGGGGAACACTGTTTATATTCACAGCTTTTTGTGTCTAATGAACATGTACTAATTACTAAAGCTAATTACTTTAATGCTTATCCTGCCTACGGAGCTGTTGATACTGAATCTAATCTCTCGTTTGAATAGACAAAGTTGCAAATGTTACCAGAATATACGTTGATGCAGACCCTGTTGAATGCTACTGGAGAGACTTGTGGAACGAGTGCCTTTTTGTGTCAGCCATTTAACTCAAACTGTTAATGAAGTTAGATAACTTCCATTGCCTGCTGGAATGTGTGGCTTTCAGGTGTTCACTAATCTCTCTGTATTGCTTTCTTTAGAGTTAGGAAATGTAGTGTAAATATAACCTGGTTGTTTTGAACTGCTCTTCTCATTTTAGTCTTTGAGTAAAGCGCTCTTCGTTTAAACTAACATGAACGTGGCAAATTTCCGTATCTGTGAAGTTTTGCCAAGAAGAAGACCCTAGCCTGTCTGGTTTAGTTATCGATGATGTGTGTAATTGGAAAATGTCTTTTTCTTTTGTTGCACCGAATTATGCAGGATGTTTGGTGGAATTTTATTTTGATAAATAGTAAGTTTTTAAACGTACTTAAACATTTATAGTATGTTTTTAGATGTTAGTATGATGTGTTATCTCCTAATATTAGACAGGGCAGAGCAATCAGAACAAAACTAGAAATTCTGTGAATTGAGGTTTTAATTATTATTTGGAATGATTGAATAAACTTGTAATCAACTTCTGGAATTTATTTTTGCAAACTGTTGAGCCAAAAAGCGAAGAGGATTTAAAAAAAAAAAAAAAGACTGATAAATTCTAGAGTGGTGATACATTACTCTCGCATCCTGACGAGTGAAGCCTAGTAAGTTTAGGGAAGAATCTGGGGTATAGAGTAACTTTTGAAAACGGTACAGGTACAGTATCTCTCATGCCTTCAAGAAAAATCTCTCGTGTTGGCTGCTGGATTTAGGTATATTTGTTATTATCTGATATGAAAGAAATCCTGGTTTTATTATCAGTGAACTTCGATTCTTTTCGGTTTGCAATACTAGAATATTTCAGTTGAAACATCTTATTTTTAGAATCAGCTTGGGAATTATTTCTTTTCTTGTGATTGTAGCCTTTTCTTGCATCAGTTTTAAGGCATGAGAATTCAGTGAGGACAAGCTGAATGTCGACAAGCAAACCTTTCTAACATTTTATTTTTTTGGGCAGATGGACAGCCAGTAATGGCAGCTGGTAGCCCAGTTGGGCACATTGGTTTGTGGGATCTGGAAGAGAAGAAAGTAATGTGTCAGATGCAAGATGCCCACTCCACAGCAATAGCTGGCATGTCATTTGTCCCTGGAGAGCCACTTCTAATTACTAACGGTGCTGATAACGCTATACGGGTAAGTTACAATAGCTGCTACTATCTGTTTTTTCTTTTTTCTCTTGTAGTCCTCCAAAGTGTAAATTTTAATTTGGACTGAAGTAGCAGTTCTCACAAATACAATAAGGCTCAAGTTACTGAAGTTGCTTCAGATCAGTTGATGTGATGGCAGTTGCAGGATTTGCTGCTGTGATATCATTGCTTCATTTATTTCTTCATGATAGCCTTGCAGAACAGAGGTTTGGATCCACTTCTCCAGAACCACACTTCACATCCTGGTGCGCTATCTTGATCTATTTTTACACTGTTCGGGGTCATGAGCAGTTGCTCTTGATAAGTCCCTTGTGCTGCGTGTCCTCTGCTGCCATTAGCCTTTGGTGGAGGGGCAGAATGAACAGCAGGAAACTATCAGCTGACGTGGTGGAAACTGCCAGAGTTTCGGGATCAAGGATGAAAGCTGATGTGAAGTTTGCTGCATCAGCTCCCAAATAAGCCTGTTCCACTTACAAGAGGTGTAATTATTGGCAGGGCAATGTTTATCAGCTTTGTTTTTCTGCTTTTTTTTGGGGGGGAGACAGGTGTGGATTTTTGATGGACCTGGTGGTACAGGACGTGTATTGAGAAGCCGAATGGGACATAGTGCACCACCAACAAAAATCAGATACCATGGGCAAAATGGAGAGCAAATTCTTAGTGCAGGTATGAATTCTCAATCTTATTCTTCAGTCTGGTTTCGTGCTGTGATAAAGAAAACATGCAGAGCTAAGTGTGTTTGTTTTATTAATACAGTAAATTATGTTTCATGTGCTATATAAATTTAAATTGAAAGCAGGGAGGTTTAGATCAGATATCAGGAAGAAGTTCTTCCCAGAGAGGGTGGGGAGGCACTGTGAACGGGTTGCCCAGAGAAGCTGTGGATGCCCCATCCCTGGAAGTGTTCAAGGCCGGGCTGGATGAGGCTTTGAGCAACCTGGTCTAGTGGAAGGTGTCCCTGCCCATGGCAGGGCGATTGGAACTGGATGATCTTTAAGGTCCCTTCCAACCCAAACCATTTTGTGATTCTGTATATGTATTTATGAATACATAATAATGGTCAGTGTAGACAGTATCATTTCCTGTATCAAGCTGTCTCACAGTTTCCCTAGAGGAAGCTATATCAGCAGGTAGGCTGAAAAATAGTTGTAAGCTTTTCTGCTCAGGAGCTGCTTTTGTCACATGTATTTATATGTTTGATGAATAAAAATTGTTGTGATCTCCTAAGGAACCATCAGTTGGTCAAAATGGAAACCTGTAACAACTAAGGGAATCCTGTTGTGACAGGGAAAAAATAAGCGACATAATGCATTTAGTAACTTAGAGGAGTCTCTCCACTTTTCCCACTAGTTTGGGCAAGCTTTGTGGGTTGCAGTGTCTTTGTAATTTGTTACAGCTCAATTGTGTCTCTAATACATATTGCTAAGGTTGCTTGTTATTAAGATATTAATCTAAAAGTGTAAAAATGCATGACTGCCCTTCCTTAGAAACTAGCATATTTAAAAATCTATAAGTAAACCCTTTAGGAAATTAAGCACCAGATTCTAACTGTTCTGTGGCCCAGAACATTTCATTAACAGAATAATAGAGACTCTTCACCTAATCCTTAATAACTCTGAAATGAGTAGTTGTCTACATGGGCAATGTAAGAAATATTTGAAAACACTACACTACATTTTGATGAATTTTACACCTAATACGGCACAGCAGTACACCGTTGAAACCACCTGTCCTAAAATCTCTTATGGGTCGTCCAGCTCGTAACTTGGATTTAAGTAACTCATTCCATGACAGTAATGCCCTCATGCTGGATGAACCACAGTGACAGTCAAATAACAACTTGTTTGCATTTCCCTTACAAAGTGGACCTGTTTGCTAGTTTCAAATTTGAGCCTGCTGTCCCTCTATTAAGTTAAATTAAATTCCTATCAGTTCTGTGTACATGGGTCACTGGTTAGAGGAGCAAATCCTGTTAGTGTCATGGTTTACACCAAAGGTGAACAACCCAGCTTTACCATTTTGGTTTGGTCTAGCTTACTGGCTAACCTAGGTGTAGTTCCCAACCAGCTACGGGTGAGGGAGTATGTGGCTCATGGGAAAGCTTGGAAGTATTTGAAGGATGTAACAGTTTATTTAAGGTTTTGATCATAGAAAGCTGGGAACAGCTAGATATTGTGGTGGAGAAGGAGGCAGGACAGAGGAGAAATCAACAGGGAGAAGACGTCCATAAAGGAGGTGTCATTCTGAACATGCGTTTGGCAAAGTAGTAGGAATGGGATATAGGGGACAGAAAATTTGGCTCCATTAGTTCTGCTGCTTATAGTGTATTTGTATTTTTTTTTCTTGGGCAAGAATTTGTAGTAAATACTTTATTACGGTGTTTGAGATTTCTTAGTGCTTATCTTCTGCTTTTCTTGCTTAGATAGCTTATGAGTAAACAGAAAGTTAATTTTTGCTCTTCACTGCTTTCTGCTAATATGTTGTCAGGTCAAGATGGAACATTGCAGTCTTTTTCAACAGTGCATGAAAAGTTCAATAAAAGTTTAGGACGTGGTAAGTATTTCAGTGAAAATACAAGTATTGGTAAAAAAAGCCCTGAAAGGTACTTATGTAAAGAGGAGTTTAAATATGAGCTAGGCCTTCTTTTCATGTCAGCTACTGTATGAAAACTCTTCACCTCAGTTGTTCTGCAAACTCAGTCCTTCCTGATGTATAAAAAGTGCACTCACAGATTTTTGTGTACATAAGAAAAGTAATTTCTGTAGCCTGACAGTTACTTCACTGCGGGAAACGTTGGGCACGATTTTTGTATTAAAACTGTAAAGCAGTAGCTGGTATTTCAGCATGTGTAATTGAAGCAGTTTACCCAATTGCCCTTCTGTTCAGTTGACAAAATTATTAGCTAATTTATATTTCTTCACTTGAGTTAATTTGATTTAATCTAGAGTTCAATTTAAAATACAGATCTTCCACACAGTCCTGTGTTAAAAGGACACTTTCTTGTATGGCTCAGAGAGCAAGGGTCAGAAAGACTAAAATAATTCTTGTTTTTAAATATTCATATATTGATAGGGACATATCCCTATATTGATGTACGTGGATTTAGATAGATTTGGATAGACAGATGTAGATTAATTGATCATGTGTATCCTTCAGGCATAAATTTGAAATTCTTGGCTCTTTGGTTATTGAAAGATCTGGGTGTTCCATACTGCTTTGTATATATAGCTGTGTCTGTATGACCATGGTTTTAGCTGTGGTGGACCTCCGCCTCAGGGTGTCAGCACAAGATCCCGGAACAAAAGGGTTGAGTAGTCCATATGTGAATGTAACAGGCTAATTAATTGCTCAGCATCACGTGAATTTTGACAGGAATTCTTATTAAATAATTTTCTTAGCTCTTCAAACCCTGGATAACAGCAGTGCTGTGTTCATGTAAGCCAAATTCTTCTAAGTTTAATAGGAACTTTACATTTAGTAAACCAGCCTTTTTAAAACATTATCCTCAGATCTAGCCATGAGATTGAGACACCTTTTTTTTTTTTTTAAAGGTTCAATTAACAAAAAGAAGTCAAAAAAGAAAGGTCTTAAGCTTGATACCATGGCACTTCCACCAATTACAGTCTTTGCTTCAGGTAAGTATTCTTTGAAATACATTGTAGAGCTCATCATGTCTTCATTTTGTCTTTTAACCCTCAAGACACTACTGCTTTTAAAGCCCATGCAGTATCAGGATGATATAATTGAGATTCTGTGGCCCTTCATGAGCTGTTGAGTGACAGGTTGAAATGGCATTGTACTTGGTGAACTTTTCTGTTACTGAAAAAAAAAAAAAAGAGTATTGTATTTCAAACTCCTTTATGTTTAACTGGCTTTTGGTTTGAAAATCTCCACCACAGGAGCCAGAATCTTCTGGTGTCATATTAGTCCAGGCTGGAGAACCAGCAATTAGGGGTGATGAAGGTAATTATCAGCTGAGGAAATCTTAGTTATAGGGATTGACTTTGATTCCCTGATTCCTTTTTTCGAGTCACTTTTCAAAGTCAAATTTCAATTACTGTCTTCATTTGCAGTTCAGTATGCACATAGTGATCCCAGCTTTTTGAAGCAGAATTGCCATTATATTTGCTTCATCAAAATGTGTTTCTTTAAACTAAAGACATCCTTCTCGGACTTGAAGTCTGTTTTGTCTTAAGTGTAGCTATTCTTTTATCTTCAAAGAATGGTTGATTGTTTCATATGTTGAAAGGTTTGGATTTACAGTTTTGTGTAGCCATTTGACTGAATATGGTACTTATCTCTGCAGATTTTGGTAATGCAGACTGCGTACTCAATACAAATACGTGTGTGTATATATGTATGTATATATATATATGCACTTTCAAAATGAGTATTTGACCTGCCTGATTGATTTAAGGCAGTATTGCTACCTTAAATGTGTTTGCAGACATAAGAAAACATTCATTAAAGTAATTTTAGAGTTGTTTCTTTTCTGCTATGTTGTGTTTATATGATGAAGTGAATTAGTTTGTATTTGGTTCTTTGAAGTTCTAGAAATACCCAATTTCAAGCTCTCTGTTTAAAAATATATGTGACAGGAAAAAAGCAAACTTGCTTATTATTTAGATCTCCACATAGCATTTTTGACTACAAAGTTTGGATCCTGAGCTTTTGAAAAATGATTTTCCTGCAATTGCAGAAAAGTGTTTTGCTACGTGAAGCAGACTTGACTCTTAAACCCTGGTTTAAGTTGCTAATCTAGTGGCTTGTGCTGTTTCAGCCACTGAACTGTCAAGAGACTCAGCTGGAAATGTATATAGATTGGGCAGGTTAAACCCTGTAAGCTTAACTCTGCTTTTCAGACCAAAAAGACTTAAATACACCAAGTCTTGAAACATAACAGAGCAAAAAAGCCCCTCGTCGTTTTGTTAGCATTTTAGTTACACTAGTGTAAGTACAGCAGTTTGCCAGACGTTTTTTTCTGAATGGTAGCCTTTTGACTGTCCAACAAGAACACTAATTATGAACTGTTCTGTCTAGAGGTATTTCAGAGTACTTTTTCATGTGGTATCAGAAGAGCTTATTTGACTGTAGAACAATTTTTTTCTGAACGGAGTATGTGTTACATTGCAGAAGTGGCTCATCAGAGTGACTGGGATAGTATTGTTGCCTGCCATCAAGGGTATATAACCTGTACAACCTGGAACTATCAGAAATCTTCCATGGGAGCTCATAAGCTGAGTCCAGAAGAATTTAGCAAACACAAGCCCATCGAGATATATGCAACAGTAAGTTAATTAGGATAATGTTTCTTCAGCATTACAGTTGATTCTATTTTGATTTCTGTTTGCACAGAAATACTTAGATTGAAAAAGCACTATTGAGATGTGTTTCAGTTGCTTTGCAAGGTGCTTTCTGGCAACTAGCTCTTTTGTAATGCTTGTGGTCTTAAACAAAATGTTGCACATGAGTTTTTTTCCCTTTAAACATTCGGGTTAAGTGTAGATTTTATTTTCTGATTCAGATAGGTGGTTGTTGTTTACTTTTAACCTGCCACAGTGATGTAGAGTTGACTATATGCCTGTGAATGCAGATTGCTGAAGATACTTTTTTGGCAATATGGAAAAATATGTTTCCAAAGTGCAGGCAGGATATTCCCTCTAAAATGCTTTACATCTTGAGCTGGAAACAGTGAAATCAAACACCCAGTGAAAGAGGTACAAATGTTTATTGAGGCTTGTGAGCTTGTAAGACAAGCAGTTACTGTGGCATACTTCATGTGTGAGGTGTTCATACTACTATGTATCTTGTGATAAATTGTTTTTCTGACCTTGTGCTAAGTTAAGTGGTAGACTAGATTAGTTCAGTTGTAAATACGTGGTTTTCTTGTAATTACTAGATTCTTTGGACTGTATCTTTCTAAAGACATCTAGAGCATTGTTTCTTTGGTTTTTACTATTTAAGTTCTGTGTGAATTTAGCCTCCATTGGGTTGCTGTTTGCAATATGGGCACTGAAAGAACCATGCAGTTGGCATGTTTTGATTTTCTCTTAGGGATTTAATTGGCAAATGTTTTGATTATATAGGTTAGTCATTTGGGTTACAGTGTCGATACTATTAAGCTATAACTTCGGGTGGATGTTACCTGTTGTTTGTTCTGTGCAGTTTACCTTGATAAAGTCTGACAAAAACTTTCTTCCTCATGTTATGTGTCTTCTTACAACTTGGCAAATTAGACATAAGCCTGAAGTATTGTTTTAATAGTTTGCTGATTTTTTCCCCCCCCGCCACACTCCTCCCCCCTTAAAAGGCAGTTGACATTACCTCATGTGGGAACTTTGCTGTAATTGGGCTGTCGACTGGACGGGTAGACGTGTATAACATGCAGTCTGGCATTCACAGAGGACGTTATGGCAAAGAAAAAGGTAAGAATTGCTACACTTTTAAAATACATCTAGATTTCCCACAGACTGGAAAAGACGAAACATAACCCCCATCCTCATAAAGGGAAAAAAGGAAAATCTGGAGAACTACAGGCCATTCAGTCTCACCTCTGTGCCTGGCAAGATTATGGAGCAGGTCCTGGAAATCATGCTGAGGCACATGGAAAACAAGGTGGTTGGTGACAGCCAACATGGCTTCACCAAGGGCAGATCGTGCCTGATGAATATGGTGACTTCTATGATGGGGTCATGACCTTGGTGGATAAAGAACAGGCAACCGATGTCATCTACCTGGACTTGTGCAGAGCCTTTGGCACCGTCCCACATGACATCCTTCTCTCAAAACTGGAGAGACATGGATTTGACAGATGGATCGCTTGATGGATAAAGAACTGGTTGGATGGCCGCACTCAGAGAGTGGTGGTCAACGGCTCGATGT